CACAGAATAAACACTGCTGGACTGTTTTTAATTCAAATATTTATCCTTTGGACTTCGCTTTAAACTTTATTTATAGATAAAAATGACTAAAAATGAAAAGCTGTCTTCAGCTGAAACGCATTCATATATTGATATTTTTAAAAAAAATGACAAGAATGCAAAATTTATGGAAGTCTAGCAGTTGAAAAATCGTAATTTTTTTGTTTGAGCACTGAAAATAACTGTAGAAAGAAAGAAGAAAATTAGAGAGAAAAGTAAACAAAAAATTGCAGGGAAATTTGGCTGTTAGACATACCAAGATGTTTCAAAAAGTTGAACGCTTTTGAAGATACTTTCAGGATACTTCAAAGAATTTAGGTGTTCGAAGAGAAAATACTCGGACGTGTACACCAGCGAATACCATCAATCGAGCTTGTGTTAACAGAAAAGACATAAGGATATGGTTGCAGATTAAAGCGAAGAGCGACTGGTTTTAGACTATGTGGTTGCATAAATTTTAATTACGTTATAGAACATCATATCGAATCATAAACGGAGAATCCCATGATTTCTCAGTCAAATTATTTGAAGATTCAGGAGTTTATCCAGTGATGTATGTGGATGTCACCTAAAGACGTTTTTCCCCCCCTTGTTGACGCCAGAGACGCCATATGTGAAAAATATGTAATATTTGTGTTCTACAACGATGACGCTGATGTTTTTATAGTGCCACCTGGCGGCCACTTGTATTGAGTTTATAGTGTGTTCTGAGATGCCGCCGAGAGATGTGAACTAACTATGCTGCTTTTTGAATAATTAATAAATTTTAGTATACAGTCCATTTTTGAGTTTTTGTATAAAGTGATTTATTTAATTATGAGTTTTACTGAGCTATTGATGGGCCCACCCCTCCTGACGAAACAGCGGCCAAGCTGAACACTGGTTGTTCGGTCCGAAGTTCGAATTCCGCGAACAGGCTGGCTGTATGGGCGTTTTCGTGCTTTTCCACATGTGTAACATGTATACGAGCCAGTTTCCCTCAGAAAGTCCTCCATGAAGGCAACCCTCCCCTTAGGCAGATAGCCCTCGAGGCTTTGCCGTAATTAAATAACCTAACCTTTCAGGTTCCTATAATTTCTGTTTCTGAGTTCAGAAACTAAGCACTTAAATAAAAACTGTTGCCGTTTTTCGTTTTATCACATGCTGTCATGTATAACTCTCTCCTTTATTTTCCCTTTGGCGTCCAAGTTTTGCTGTAAAATAGTTTTCTTATTGCATTGGCTTCCAGCAGATCTTACTGCATTGATTCCAACACTTGCTGCACAATGCTTGGGGGCGAAAACATAAATCGTATAGTGTGTGCTGCAAATGATGAACTGGCATTGATATTAATAATAGTTATGATTCTTCTGTTTGATTTGGAGTGGTGTTCAAGGCCCTGACACAAGGACAAATGGGGCTTGTGCCATGAGCCTCCACTTTTCAGAGGCTTGCAGATTGTTCCAATTTAGTATAATTAGTCCAATTTAGTATTCAATAAATTTTAGTATACAGTCCATTATTGAGTTGTTGTATAAAGTGATTTATTTAATTATGAATTTTACTGTGCTATTGATGGGCCCACCCCTCCTGACGAAACAGCGGCCAAGCGATAAAGTCGCTGAACACTGGTAGTTCAGTCCGAGGTTCGAATCCCGCAAACGGGCTGGCTGCATGGGCGTTTTCGTGGTTTTCCCCATGTGTAACGTGTATACGAGCCAGTTTCCTTTAGAAAGTCCTCCCCGAAGGTATCCTTCCCCTTAGGCAGATAGCCCTAGTTTGCTTTGTCATAATTAAATAAACCAAAATCTCTTGATGAAACCAGCCTTTCCTTTCATCTCATACCTTCAATATGCTTAGTGTCTAAAGACTGATAAAGACTCTGACCAAATACTGATGAAATGGATTGAAATGGATTATTATGTTATGACAAAGCATGGCTATCTGCCTAAAAGGAAGGATGCCTTTGTGAAGAACTTTCTAAGGGAAACCAGCTGGCATACATGTTACACATGAGAAAATCCACGAAAACGCCAATGCAACCAGCCCGTTTACTGGGATTCAAACCGCGGAGTGAACTACCAGTATTCAGAGACTTTTCCGCTTGGCCGTTTGTGGGTCTTTATGAAATGGAAGGCGATAACTTTATTTAAAATGACTCTCAGAAATACCAAGATGTTTCGAGAGTTGTATGCTTTTTAATATACTCGCAGAATGCCAAAGAAAAAGAGCAAGAATGAAGCAGAATGCCTGAAGAAAAAGAGAAGAAAAAATAAATTTTTGCGTAAAATTTAGTATTTGTATTTTTTTATTTTAATTTAAGACATTTTAATCTTATGATATTTGATTCCTGCGATTCCAAAAATAAAATATTTGACTAAAATATGAATAACATTTTAAGAAACCAAATGTAGAATAAAATTGTGTAAAGCAATAGGCATAATGATAAAACTGTTTAAAGCAGTGTATGAGAGTGATCCAAAGTAAAATGGCCCACCATCGTGCCGACAGTAAAGTCGCTGAACACTGGTAGTTCGGTCCGAGGTCGAATCCCACGAAGGGCTGGCTGCATGGGTTTTTCGGGTTTCCCCATGTGTAACGTGTATACGAGCCAGTTTCCCTTAGAAAGTCCTCCACGAAGGCATCCCTCCCCTTAGGCAGATAGCCCTCGCGTGCTTTGCCATAATTAAATACACCACACACCTAAGTTAAAATGTTGGTTATACAGCTCTCTTATTTATATATATCTTTCCTGAACGGAACATTGAAAGGCGTGTTAACTGTGCTTTACTGTATTTTCTCTTTTAATATATGCAATTTCAAAATGCATCATAGTCTGGGTTACAAAGTATTTTTCCAAAAGACACGCAATTCAAATAAATAAAATAAAATTCGGAAAAGTTATATTAATAAATATTTTAAAAAAATGCTCAGTTCGAATGAATTAATAGACACTTTTAAAATAATTATCTGAAGAGACAATGCAACACTACCAATTAAAATAAAAGTCTAAAAATTTAAAAATGACCTAAAATAGTAACTATGCCTAAAATATAGTATAAAGAAAACTATTTGAAAATAAATAAATAAATAAATAAATGATGCACCTTTGATTTAAACTAAACAGTTCGAATGAGTAAACAAAAACTTTTAAAACAGTTATTCGAAAGAAACCAGCAACTAAAGAATTAAAATGAAATTCGAAAAGAAAAAATACTAAAAATAATAACAATTATAATTAAAAATATAACATAAAGACCATTATATGAAAAAAGGATCAATAGTGACTTTTCCCCTCTCACGCATGAGGTAGAAAGGAAAAGGAAAATAGGTTGTCATATATCAAGAAGTTCGCCAAGTGAACTATTCTTGGCGTAAATTAAAAAAAAGTGCCAACATAAACTGTTGAATTTCTCCATAAATTTCGCACCAAATTTTACAAAATTTAGTATCTAGGCATAATTTGAGTCGTAGAATCGAAATATGTAAAGAAAAATGGTATATTATTTCAGAAAAGTCTGAATTTGTGTCAAAATACCTATGTTAGAATAGTGTTATATATAAATCTAATATATATCCTAAGTCGTGGTTTCGAGACATAAAGAACTGATTTGAATTTCGTGAATCGGCCCAGTAGAATGGGAGATATAGAACTGTTCCCCCCCTTTTTTTTTTCAACAGTGTATATACAGATCCCCCACAATACCTTCATTTCTTGGGTTGTGATTGAATTCATTTTGATACGATTTTGTAACCTGTACCTATTGGATTCAAATGTCAAATGTTCTAGAAATTCCTTGCCAAACATAAACATTTTCAGTGGTGTTTTTGGCTTGATAAGCACTACATTTGGGTTTCAATTCATTATTTTTGGTAGATCTTTATCTACCCACTCCACAATTTTCTCAAACTGACATTTAGAATAAAATATCTAAAATTACTAATTATGAATAAAAAATGCAGTATATAAAATGTAAGCAATATTATATAATGTTTACTATGATAAATTGTACTAACTTTGAAACAGAAGTAGCAGCCACTTTCCAAATAGCAATGCTCTACATAGTGATGCTATACAGCCATCTATGATCGACAGTTGAAAGTTCAAATAATATAGAATTAATAAACACAGGAATGGAATCTGTTAAGGCATTTACAGAAGAATAAACAAATTTAAACTTTTATCTACTAGAGTGGACATGATGCAACAAAGGGTTAAAAACACATCAGCTAGTTTTATCTTGTTTTCCCGATAAAACATAAAACATCAGGAATTTTTACCAGTGATAATGCACAAGTGAATTTTGCACCATTCAAGATGCAAATTCTCTAAGTTCCAGCCCAGAAAATTCACAAGCACAAGAAAGGGACTGATGTATTAGGCCATCTTAATCATAGGCACAAACCTTCAACTAAGTAAGAATGCAGGAAAAATGGCATAGTCTTGATTATTTTAAGTGCTCTTAAAAGAATGCTGGTAAAAGTATTATTTTCTTTAAAAATGAAATTATTTTTGAAGACCTTCAAGGAGTAATGTAACTGCTAGTATTTATAGAAAGAAAATAAATCAAATATTAGTCATTTTAATCATATGTATCATGATCCCTCTTTCAAATTTTAACATCTATAATTCTCAGATATATATTTCTTTCACTTTTTAAGTGACTACTTTAAAAGAAGAAACAAATTATTTGCTATACAAAGTAGAAAAAGCATACTTACTTTCACTCATAATTCTATTTAACTTAGGAATGTCTGAGGTATATATTAATGATTTTGTTATGCCAGAGGGAGAGAGCAAAGCTTGCTGCAGTGATTTTGGAGCACATTTTAATAACTGGTACAGAGTTTCCAAAGTAGAAGTGATAACATTATGGTCAGGATGATGAGTAAAATGCAGTGCAATTTCATAAACCTAAAAATAAGATATTTTTATATGTAATTAAATGCAATTATAAAAACACATTGGCAACACTGAATAAGAATTCAAAATTAAACAAAGAAATAAAATCAAAATACCACCAAAAATGAACTCATGAACTCATTTAATACCACCAAAAATGAACTCATGGACTCATTTAATTGCTGAGTTAACTGGTATAAAAATATATTACAGATTTATAAATATATAAGTGCACTCACACCCACATATATATTTTCATTTGTGGCTTTGAATTGAATTTGTATTCCTTGGAGATGGTATAAGGAAAGTTTTCTTGTTATAAATTATTATGAATTATTAGTTTATATATAACTTTAAAAACAGTAGGAGTGGGATTAAAAAAAAAATTTAATGCAAAAAATCCTGCACTATTTAAGCTGGAAAGGATTAAACGATAAGATTGACTTAAAAAAAATAGAAAATATGATTATCCTATCTGAGGAAAAATGAATAAGTTAAATATAACATGCCTTAATAGTAAAAGTGAAAAATTTTACAATAGTCAAATATGTCAAGTTTTTTGTACAGGAAGTTAAATCTCATTAAAACAGTGATGCAACCATCAGAATTAACATAATAGAAGCAATAGAAAAAATTAATAAAAACGAAGCAATGAAAAATTAAAAAAAGAATAATAAATGAATCACCAAAATTTAATGCTTGAAACAGTACCTGCCAAGGGGTTACTATTTGAAACATCCAACCAGGTCGATTATTCAGTGCTGCACAACATGCTTCATTCCTCTTGACAACAAAAGGCTTTAAATTATTTCAAATAAATAAATTAATCAAAAAATTATATCTCAGATACATTGTTGTCTAGGTACCCCAACATGCTAGTAGTGCTCTGAGATTTAAATTACATAAAAAACATGTAAATTAAAATACTAACAGCACTGAAATCTCTATTGTAATCAAAATTTAATGCTTAGCAGCTTTTGCCCAATTAAAAAATGGATAATAACACTGTCCAATTAAATAAATGCCCAACTATGGAAAGTTGAAAAGAAGAAATTATGCTGTGGCTACTTAACAAAAATGTACACTTCTCACCAATTTTAGGGAAAGTTAATGAAGCTTATGAAATAAAACTGCTCCTAAAGAAAAGTCATATAAATTTGATTCAATGCTCAACGAACATGGTTTTACAGCTCTGCATCTGCCCCCATACCACTGGGACATTAATACAATTGAATTCATATGAGGTGAAATAAAGCAATTTGTGCAGAACTGCAACAAAACTGGAATCATGGCAATGGATAAATTATTAAAAATTACAGAAGAAGCACTTGAAAGTGTAGCAAGGGAAAACTGGAAGAAATACTGCACCCATGTAGAAAATGTAGAAAGGAACAAATGGAAAAAGATGTTTTAATGGACGATTTATGCGAGTCTTTAATTATTTCTTCTGATGAAGAGGATGAGAACTTCGATATGTATAGTGACTGTAATACAGAATAATAAGTATAGAGGTAAGAAATTTTGTTTTTTAACCCCCCCCCCAGTATGTGTAACTGCATACAGCTTTTAGCACAAAATACAAAGTGATATAATAATTACTTTTTTTAATTAGTTATTATAATTATTTAAATAACTAGAATTAATATTTATCACTGTATCATAATTATAATTAATTAATCAGAAACTTATCAGTGTGTGATAATATACATAGATTTTAAATCAAAGATCAAATAATTATCATTTATAATATAATTATATATTATCATATAATTATTATGATTAATTAAAATAATTAGATTATTAGAACTAATAATAACAGAATAATGAAAAATCATACAATATAATATAATAATTGAACAATTTTAATTACAGTTATAATGTAATAAAATTTACTTAATTATGTTTTATTATAAAATAATGCACACACAGCAAAGCTAATTTGGAAAATACTTCTATTTTTATGAATATATAAATAAATAAAGGCACAGAATTAAATACAATGTAATAAAACAGCTAATAAAAATTGATGATCAGCATATCAGCTTAGATTAGTTAAAAGTAATTTTGTCTTCTTATATCCGTACCCTTTGAGCACCATGGAAATAAACAGGGAAAAAGTAAGAACAAAAAATATCCTTAAGACATGCTTCTACAGACTCCATCCACCCTATTTTGAGAATAAATCAGTCCAAATGGCACATGTGTGTTTGCACTAATGGTCACTGCTCAGGCAGTCGAACTATAGCTTTCAATTTTGACTTATATGGCCTACTATTTAACTTTAAGGAAATTGTTTAATTCCATATCATATTTAAGATATATAAGAAATTGTTTAATTCCATATGATTTCTATTTCCATAGCAATGACTAGCACAACTTGCAAGTAAATTACCATCTGAAGTTTAATTAATCTTCACTACCACACCACTCGGGAAAAATAAAGATACAAGTATCAAATATAATGTAAGAAACAATAAAACCAGAGTACATAAATAAAATCTAGCATTCAACCTGCAAAAAATATTAAATACTTCAGCATAAGGTCAACACAAAACAGTATCCATCGCTTAAGTGCACCACTTTCTAAAAGATACCGATTTATCTACTCTTTCTATTAAATATATTGTTAGGTGTCTTGCAAACTGTTTAGAAGATTTGTTTATGAAGAGAGATAACATATATTAAGTAAAATATAGTAGATAGTAAATGGATGGAAGTGGGATTAGCATTGTGTGATGCAAAGGAAATGGCAAAATGTTAGTTCTGGTGTCATAACCCACAGAATATACACTGGTTATCCTAAATTAAGGAAAAATCAGAAAAATCACGATTACTGAAAAAGTTACATGTAGAATTTAGTGAAACTTATCCACAATATACAACACAGTAAGGTATCAAATATCATAAAAAGAAATTACCAGACAAATATGGTAGTATAGAAATTAGCACATGTACAAAATGAACAAATCGAAGGTGTCAGTTTACTATAGGAAAAGCACCTTCAATATGGAATATAATTGCCTCTAGAAGCAATACAGCACATACAGCGATGTGTGATGCTTTCAATTATGCGGACTATCAGTTCCATAGGAAGCGAGAGTCATTGCTCTTGCAAAGCAGTTGCAAGCATACAAGTGTCTGAGGGGGCGGATTGAAAGCAGCTAGACGTCTCCTTAAAGCATCCCAAACGTGCTCGATAGGATTCAAGTCCGGGGATCAAGCTAGCCACTCCATGTGCGTAATTGTTTCCTATTTAAGATAATCATCTACCATGCAAGCCCTGTGTGGTCTTGCGTTGTTGTTCTGTAACAGGAAAGCATCATTGCCCCGGCATATGGGCGCATATAAACACCAAGGATGTCATCTCTATAAATCTGAGCATTCACGGTTCCTCTTGGAAAGACATGGAGGTCTGTGCATCCACCCAAAGAGATGCCCCCCAAACACAGACACTGCCCTTTCCGTATGCATCCCTTTCATGGATAATAACGGGTTCTAAGTTCTCTTCATATCAAATAATGCCTACTATCGCTTTCTAGCTAAACCTGGACTCATCCGTAAAGAGAACCGCCCTCCATCGATCAGGCTTCCAGTGGACATGTTGTCGTGCCCACTGAAAACTGTCCCTCCTATGGCGTGGCGTGAGCGGCACACAAATGGCTGGTCGCTTCACATACAGACCACCTTCGTGAAGCCTTTTACACGCACAGTTGACATTGACACGAACCTTCCGGTGGCTGCAGCAAGGGAAGATCTAAGAAGAGTCGGAGTAGCGGTTCTATTCCTGCGTGCACATAATGTCAAATATCGGTCCTCGGTGCTCGTAGCAGTGGCCACCTGTGTTTGACTTTGTCCTGCCTCTAGTCTCTCAATGGTTCTCCAGCACAGTTCTGCAGGGAAATGATGCCTGGAGGTCATTGTTACGAATTGGCTATCTCAGATTTCTGATGTCACTGTCACAGTGAAATATGTGGGCTTGCTCTCAAACATGGGCTTTTATGCTCCTCCCAGATGACATATTCCGAGAGCAGCGCCACTAATTTGCATATCGCAGTTTTACTCAGCAACTCTTACTTGGCAACATATTAAAATTTTACATGGTTTGGCTTATTTTTGAGGGAGTTATCGCTTGAGATACTTAACATTATGCATGTATTTAAAAGTAAAAATTGAAAATTCAATAAAGGAATTCAAAAAGAAAGTATTTTTAACTAATATACAAATGTGAAATATAATATATGAAAATGTTTTAGAAACTTTTAAAATAACTTAAAACATATGAGAAATTTGGTAGTTAAAAAAAATACGAGCAAGAAGCTGAACTACAGAGAAAAGAAGGGGGGCAAAAACCACACGTCTTTATATGAATGCAAAAAATCGGAAGTTTGGATACCCTAGAATGTTAAACAATAAAGTTTTAGTGAACACCGCTAAAGAGCCAAAGATGGCACATCAAATCTGAATCACAACCCTAAAGCATGGCTATAACACAAGGCCTATGCTTTAACATGGCTGACAAGTCAGCCTGTATCTCTAGTAGCTGTAATATGATTGGCTCATTTTAACGAACTTTCCCAACACTCGAATGAAGGTTACTTACCGTAAGGATCCCTCCGACGGTCGCTGTGACAAATGCCAATTTAGCCAACAGTCCTTACGGTTACTGGAGTGATGAAAGTTAGCGGTCATCCATTAAGAGAAGATCCTTATTTATGCTCCTTGTCATCAACAGGGCCCTAATTCTCTATAAGCAGTTTTCAAACGCACTAATCTATCATTACCATCTTTACCAGGATAAATAAGGATTACACGCCCTAGCGGCCAAAATGCACGTTTTTGATTGACTTTTTCAATTATAACAATATCACCAATTTTTATTGACTGCTCTGGAAGTTTTGAAAATGGTTGGAGCAGTAATTGTCCAAGGTACTCTGTTCTAAATCTCTGCCTAAAAGTTTCTCTAAGACATCGTTGGAGCTGAATTCTTTTTTTGGGAAATTCACTTTGTCTAT